CAGTCAGACATCCCCCAAGGGGTCCCAGGTTGGAGAGTGTGCAGGCCGGGCTGAGGGACACCCCCACCCTCCATGCACGAATTTCGTGCGCCGGGCCTCTAGTCCTATATAATAAAGAGCTAATATGCAAATGGTCCTCATGCTCTCATGCCATCACACTGTAACTGCTCAGACACTCAACACTGAGGAGAGAGGAATAGGGACCAGCCAGGCACAAATGAGCTCATGAGAGAGGAATGGGGACCAGCCAGGCTGCAGCCCGGGAGAGGGAAAAGCCGCCTGCCCCATGGTCCTGGGCGCCAGTGCCTGCAGCTGCGGCCCAGGAGAGGGACAAGCACCCATACCACGGTCCTGGGCACCTGCAGCTGTGGCCTGGGTGAAGCCGCCAACCCATGGTCCTCTGCAGCTGCGGCTGGCCTGGGTGAAGCCGGCCCCGGTCCTGGGTGCCTGCGGCTGGCCAGAGGGAGGAAAGCCCGGGTCTCGGGTGCCCGCAACTGGCCAGAGGAGGGAATCCTGGGCCCTGGGTGTGGGGCAAGGCAGAGGCAATTAGGGGCAATCAGGCCAGCAGGGGAGCAGTTAGGGGTGATCAGGCTGGTAGGAGAGCAGTTAGGGGTGATCAGGAAGGCAGGCAGAGGTGGTTAGGGGCGATCAGGCAGGCAGAGGTGGTTAGGGATGATGAGGCAGGCAGGCGAGTGGTTAGACCCTTTAGACCCTTTAGACCCTTATTTACCACTTCCTAGCTGTGCTGATTTGGGCAAGTTCCTTCATCTCTCTGTGCCTCATTTTTCTCATTTGTAAAATGAGATGTCAATAACAGTACTAGTAAAGGGAACACTAGTTCACTGCTGGTGGCACTATAGATATGTATCTCTGGCCATTACACTGTTCTGATTTAAAATCGTTAAACCTCCATATCCCTTTGTTTGTAACCTTCTTATCTCTTACCTGGAAGACATTAAGGTAATGTCTTATTTTAGTTTACTATACATGTAGTCAGGTCAGTCTTCCCAGGCCACCTTCTCATCTTCTCCATCTTCAAAGGAAAACTTTGAGTATCTATCTCCATGTAGTCAGACATTCAAAGCATCAGAATACCTCAAATGGTTTGAACCTAAAGAGTTTGGCACTATAGGTATGTATCTCTGGCCATTACACTGTTCTGATTTTAAATCGTTAAACCTCCATATCCCTTTGTTTGTAACCTTCTTATCTCTTACCTGGAAGACATTAAGGTAATGTCTTATTTTAGTTTACTATACATGTAGTCAAGTCAGTCTTCCCAGGCCACCTTCTCATCTTCTCCATCTTCAAAGGAAAACTTTGAGTATCTATCTCCAGTAGTCAGACATTCAAAGCATCAGAATACCTTTCCAACTTGTTTCCCCTCCTCCCTAGTATACCGCCAGGGCTATGACAGTCAGAATACCTGCAGTTTCCAAATGAGACCTGTACTTGTCTACTCTGTGTGCCAGCAGGCCTCCATCCCCGCAATGCTCCTTCTCTCCCCACCCTCCTTTCCAGACTCCTAAGCCCTGGATCCCAGGAACTCTCTGCTTTCACTAAACTGAGTATAATCTCCTGAACTTTAGAGTATTTTATTGTTATCTCTTGTGGTATTTATTATCCTATATAATGAAAGCCTAGGTAGTGTCACCATCACAAGATGGCCGGCAGAGGAGGGCAGTAGGGGGCCATCGGGCTGGCAAGGGAGGGCAATTGGGAGTGATCAGGCCGGCAGGGGAGCAGTTAGGCGTCAGTCAGGCGAGCAGTTAGGTGTCAATCAGGCCAGCAGGGAGCAGTTAGGGGGTGATCAGGCTGGCAGGCAGAAGCAGTTAGAGGCATGCAGGCAGGCAGGCAGGTGAGTGGTTAGGATCCAATAGTCCTGGATTGTGAGAGGGATGTCCGACTGCCGGTTTAGGCCTGATCCCTGTGGGATCGGGCCTAAATCAGCAGTCAGACATCCCCCAAGGGGTCCCAGGTTGGAGAGTGTGCAGGCCGGGCTGAGGGACACCCCCACCCTCCATGCACGAATTTCGTGTGCCGGGCCTCTAGTCCTATATAATAAAGAGCTAATATGCAAATGGTCCTCATGCTCTCATGCCATCACACTGTAACTGCTCAGACACTCAACACTGAGGAGAGAGGAATAGGGACCAGCCAGGCACAAATGAGCTCATGAGAGAGGAATGGGGACCAGCCAGGCTGCAGCCCGAGAGAGGGAAAAGCCGCCTGCCCCATGGTCCTGGGCGTCAGTGCCTGCAGCTGCGGCCCAGGAGAGGGACAAGCACCCATACCACGGTCCTGGGCACCTGCAGCTGTGGCCTGGGTGAAGCCGCCAACCCATGGTCCTCTGCAGCTGCGGCTGGCCTGGGTGAAGCCGGCCCCGGTCCTGGGTGCCTGCGGCTGGCCAGAGGGAGGAAAGCCCGGGTCTCGGGTGCCCGCAACTGGCCAGAGGAGGGAATCCTGGGCCCTGGGTGTGGGGCAAGGCAGAGGCAATTAGGGGCAATCAGGCCAGCAGGGGAGCAGTTAGGGGTGATCAGGCTGGTAGGAGAGCAGTTAGGGGTGATCAGGAAGGCAGGCAGAGGTGGTTAGGGGCGATCAGGCAGGCAGAGGTGGTTAGGGATGATGAGGCAGGCAGGCGGGCGGTATGGAGCCAGTGGTCCCAGATTGCGAGAGGCAGTCGGACATCCCCCGAAGGGTCCCAGATTGGAGAGGATGCAGGCCGGGCTGAGGGATGACCCCCACCCCCAACATGAATTTCGTGCACTGGGCCTCTAGTAGTGTATATACTATATTTCTGGTGAATTTCCCATATGTCTTTGGGGGTATTAGAGTCTTTCACTACTCATGTTGCAGCCCCAGTTATGCTCATATGTAGTAATATAAGACATTTCATAAATATTTCAATGTAATTTAAATTACTTATATTATAGTATAATTTGAAGGTTATTAATACATTTAGGAGGAGAATATCCATTCCAGAAGCAAAACCATGAAGCTGCCAAAGAAACAGCAGAATGCCTGCTCTGCGGAAACACAAAAGGATATATCAAAAGAATGGGCAAACTCATCTCTCCTAAAAAGTACTACTATAAGAGACAACAGCCTTGACTTATCTTCTGTGTCTTTACCTGGGAGTTCACCCTCTATAGAAGTAATGAGATGTCAGTATCTTCTTATTTCTTTAGTTGAATATTTAAAAACCTTATTATAACTAATTATATGAAAATATAAATTGAAGACTAATTTTGAGAGGTGTATTAAGATTATAGGTAGTCAAAATTTTATTTTGAAACTAGTTAATGCTCAGAACTTGGTCTTTGCTAAGTATAAGTAGACTTGGGATCAATGTTACTATGACACTGAAGTTGTTCATATTTGCACTTTTTATACTTTCAGTTCCTTTAAAGGATGTTTTAAGCATTTCTAAATGTCTATAATTTCAGTTAAAATTCAAGACTTACATCAGTTAACATATACACTTCCTCTAAAGTGGCTATTTTGTTCTTTTCTAGAATATTTTCATAATGCTTGGGAATGCTGTCATCTCAGATAAGCATATACTCAAGAAGACAGATGCACATGCCCTAATTTGTTCTGAAAACTGAGAATTCACTTATATTGATTTATTTTAGCCATGAATTTCCTCATCCTATGTAATAAAAGGCTAATATGCAAATTGTCCCCTCAACCGGGAGTTCAACCAGGGGGCAGGGCCAGCCAGCCAGTTGCCTGTGGCCCCTCCCCCTGGCCGGATCCCACTCATGCACGAATTCATGTCCTGGGCCTCTAGTATATATATGAAGGATTTAAGCCAAATGATTTGCCAAGTCTTTCCAACCATAAAATTCTGTGACTTATATATAATAGTACTGATGCCAAATACTCTGGTTGCTCATTATAGTGCAGCTTATATTATAGATAATTTTGTTTAGAAATATTTGGACTATTCTTATGGTTACAATTACATTTTAAATGGACCCATTTAATATTTTTCAAAGTCTTATATAATATTTTAAACATAATTTAGTCTTGATTTAGTGAAAGTTTATCCTTTTTAAATACAGCTAAGACTTGAGAATTTGATAAATTATATATTCTTTAGAACTTAAATTAACAATGCTGTTCTAAAGCAGACATCATTAAAACCTGCCATCTCTCTTTTATTTGTGTCTTGTGAGGAAATATAGGCACAGAAAAAATAACAGGAAGGGATTTTACTCAGGATCATGACTGTATAACAAAATCCATATCATCTAATACAAAAACTTCCTCACCTGAATCCTTCAACAGTAAATATGGAGTGGAAGGACCAGTAAAGTCACTGAAAAACAGTGTGAAAAATTTACTGTGTGCAAGAGAAAGTTGTTCACCAATTCCACAATCATTCTCTTTGGTAAGATTATAGAATATTTTCCTTAATCAGATATATTTGTAGTTAGTAAATCATTTTCCTCTAATCAAATACACATTGTTTATCTACTATAGCTTAAGCTTTTGTGTCTGGTCTGGGGGAGAATAGGATCCTACTGATAAGTATAATAGCCTCAATGAACCTAATAGACTGATTAGAGCTGCTGGACAGGAGGAAAGTGGTGGTATGAGAAGCACAGAGTGCTGGCAAGAGTGGTGTGATGGGAAGGCTTGTTTCCAAAGAGGCACTGCTTATTTGTCTATACATCAAAACTACATAATTTATTTTCTAGATTTGAATAAGCTTAGTCCTGCAACACTGACACTTGTTTCAGATTCTACCGTAATTTGAAGTTTGTAACCTTTAGTTACTAAATCACAGGTTGACAAAGCAAGTTGCCAAGAATTGCAGTTGAAAACAGTATGCTGGGGAGAACCAAGATGGCAGCGTAGGCAAATGCCTGTACTTGCTGCCTCCCACAACCACATCAAAATTACAACTAAAATACAGAACAACCATCATCCATAACTGCCGGAAAGCTGGCTAAATGGAAGTACACAACTAGAGAAGTAAAGAAGAAAGCACATTGAGACTGGTAGGAAGTGCGGAGGCATGGAAGGGGCTGGACCGACACCCACATGTGCCGCTTTTTTAATCGGGAGGGAAATTGCCTCTGCATTGGCCACCCAGAGGAGCAAGGGGTCCCAGCCCCACACCAGATGCCCAGCCCAGAGTCCCAGAGCTGGGAAAAGAAGTCCCTACAGGCAGTAAGAACTATGCGTTATAAAAACCAGTGCAGATTGGAGCTGAGTGACACAGGCTGCTGGAGACCCAGCTGCTGCTCTTAACATGCCAGCACCACGAATTGAAATTACAAGCTCCCACTTCCTCTGAGCTCCAGTGCTGGGTGAGGCTCTGGGGGACCCAGACACATATGAGGAGAAACTGGACTGTCTGGCATCAGGGCAGGAACTTGGGGGCGGCTTTCTTCCAGACGGAGGTGCTCGCAGCAGTCTTGTTCCTGTGCAGGGGCCTCCCCAGTTGCAGGACTGACTGGAATCCATTTCTGTTTGCTCTGCTCTGGTCATTCCCTGAGACCTGCCCCACCCAATTTACAACCCCATCCAAGCTATGCACAGCAGCTTTTGCATATGAATCCCCTGTCCTTTATCAGGCTAAAAACCTATCAAACAAGCTGCAGCTGGGTTGGGGAGCCCCAAACCTATTAAAAGGCCCAAGACCCAGCACCAGCACCAGCCTGCTTTGCTTCACAGCTGGGCCTCCTCTGGGCACTTCCAAACCTAATACAAAGAGAAGGAATATGCAGATCTCTCTGTAGCTCTTGCTGGATGGCCCCAGGCAGTGGCTGACTTTGCACCTCTCTGGAGACCCAAGAGCCAGTGTACCCAGTGGTCAGTGTGAGACCATACCGGATTTCAACTCTACACATCCATAAGCAACACACTTAAGGGGAAGACTCAGTGAGCACAAAGCCCCACTGAAGCAAGTCCTGCTTCATAAGGGTGTCTCCTGCACAGCAGCTCTCCCAATGTAGTCGTAGCGGGTGCCCACAGCCAACTGGCCAGAGGTCAATTCCTCCCAGTGACACCATCAGCAATCAAGGCTCAACTACAACAAGACTGTGCACACAGCACACAAAGGGGTGTACGTAGAGTGTCCACCTCAGGTGATTGGGGAAGCTGGGCCACAGGGCCCTATAGGACACCTACTACACAAGGCCATTCTATCAACTCAAGGAGACTTAACAGCTATCCAGTACATTGAAACAAACACAAGGAAGTAGCCAAAATGTGGAGACAAAGAAACATGTCACAAATGAAAGAAATGGAAGAAAGCAAACTACTGGATATAGAGTTCAAAATCATAGTTATAAGGTTACTCAAGAATCTTGTAGAAACCTCCAAGGGACTTAGTGAGACTTTCAAAGATCTTAGTGAGAATGCCAAAAAAATGGAAAAGAACCAGTCAGAAATTAAGCATACACTGACTGAACTAAAGCATAATATACAGGGATTCAACAGTAGACAAGAGGGTCCCGAGAATCAAATCAATGAGTTGAAATATGAGGAAGCAAAAAACACCCAAACAACAGAAAAAAGAATCCAAAAATATAAAGATAGTGTAAGGAGCCTTTGGGACAACTTCAAGCATACCAGCATCCAAATTATGGGGGTGCCAGAAGAAGAGAGAGCAAGATATTGAAAACCTATTTGAAGAAATAATGACAGAAAACTTCCCCTACCTGGTGAAAGAAATAGACTTACAAGTCCAGGAAGTGCAGAGAACCCCAAACAAAAGGAATCCAAAGAGGACCACACCAAGACACATCATAATTAAAATGCCAAGAGCAAAAGACAAAGAGAGAATCTTAACACATTGTATGCGGGAAACGTATTTATACGTTTTACGTTGACTGTAAGAAGTAGAGCCACCTGTTAGCGCGCAGTAAAAACTACCCACAAACAATGTATTAAAAGCAGCAAGAGAAAGACAGACAGTTACCTACAAGGGAATACCTATACGACTGTCAGCTGATTTCTCAACAGAAACTATGCAGGCCAGAAAGGAGTGGCAATAAATATTCAAAGTGATGAATAGCAAGAACTTACAACCAAGATTACTCTACCCAGCAAAGCTATCATTTAGAATTGAAGGTCAGATAAAGAGCTTCACAGACAAGAAAAAGCTAAAGGAGTTCATCACCACCAAACCAGTATTATATGAAATGCTGAAAGGTATTCTTTAAGAAGAGGAAGAAGAAGAAAAAGGTAAAGATAAAAAATATGAACAACAAAGTGGCAACAAATACATATGTATCAATAATTGAATTTAAAAATCAAACGAATATGTGCTGTGCCAGCACAGCCAAGGGTGAACCTGAGTCAGGGTGGTGAAGGATTTAGAAAAGACAAACAAGAGAATAAAGCTGGGTCTCGGTGGGATGCTGCTTCTCTGATGGAGAGACAGTGACGGCACTTGCAAGCCAAGTTTTTATTTTATAGCCAGATTCCATGAGGTAAAGTAAGGGCATGGTTCAGATGTTTACACTGTTCTAATCTCAATTACATGCACCTGAACTCTATCAAGCCCACATTACTCAGACATATGGGGCCACGTGTTCAGACCATAGGTTCAAGCTTACAACTATAGCTAATGGCTATAATTGTGCTGGGAGTGTTCTGCCCTCCAAGATGGGACTTGCACATGGCAATGAGAGGACTGTGCCCTCTCATTAGTCCGAGGCTTGAACCCAGGGGTCCTCAAACTACGGCCCGCAGGCCACATGCAAATACAAATATTGTATTTGTTCCCATTTTGTTTTTTTACTTCAAAATAAGATATGTGCAGTGTGCATAGGAATTTGTTCATAGTTTTTTTTTTTAACTATAGTCCGGCCCTCCAACGGTCTGAGGGACAGTGAACTGGCCCCCTGTTTAAAAAGTTTGAGGACCCCTGCTTGAACCTGTCCAAACACTGTAGTCACTAGCCACACAAAGAAAAAATCTGGTAAACAGAGTAAACTGGTGAATGGAATAGAATTGGGCATGGAAATAGAACAGATTGACGATTCTCAGAGGAATGGAGCTTTGGGGGAGGAGGGTGAGGGAAGAGATTAGACAAAGATCTTATATGCATGTATGCATTACCTATGGACACAGACAATAGGGTGACAGGGGCCTGGGGTGAGGTGGGAACTAGGTGGAGAGGATCTATGGCAGGAAAAAATAGGGATATCTGTAATAATCTCAACAATAAAGATTAATTTTTTAAAAAGGAAGGAAAACAGTATGACTATAGTATTTGCTTTAGAGCAGTGGTTCTCAACCTTCTGGCCCTTTAAATGCATTTTCTCATGTTGTGACCCAACCATAAAATTATTTTCGTTGCTACTTCATAACTGTAATGTTGCTACTGTTATGAATCGTAATGTAAATATCTGATATGCAGGATGGTCTTAGGCGACCCCTGTGAAAGGGTCGTTCGACCGCCAAAGGGGTTGCGACCCACAGGTTTAGAACCGCTGCTTTAGAGTTTTGTAAGGAACTTTAAAACTGGTAGGTAAATACTATGAATATTAAATTTAATATATTGAAAATTCCTTTTATGTGTTGTTATATGTACTATTTTTTTTAATTGATTTTAGAGAGGAAGGGAGCGAGAGAGAGAGAAACATCAGTGATTAGAGTGCATCATCGATTGGCTGCCTCCTGCACATCGCCTACACTGGGGATTGAGCCTGCAACCCAGGAATGTGTCCCGATTAGAATCAAACCATGCCTGGCTCCATTATTTGCTGCCTATGTAACATTTTACAAGTTGATGATTCCCTCTGCACCTCCGTTTTCTCATCTGTCAAATGGGGTTGTGAAAAATTAAATAGGCTGATTATGTAAGCACAATACCTGATACATTGTAAATATTCAAATATTTACATAGTAAATTCTCTTGATGTATACTAACCTCTGTATATAAAGTGGAATTAATGACAGTTCAGAACACCTATAGGCAAGATCTACAACCTCTAATAAAAACAACCTTGTGTTTTACCACTTCAAACAGTGTTTTTATTCCTAGAAATGTTTTAAGGTCCTTTTATTCTGTTTAACCAGTAGTTTTCACAGACCATATTTTTCAAACAGAATTTTATATGAAACCTCCAGTGTGCCAAACAGATAAAAATGAACTATGCTGTTTAGAGCAGATAGGAGATCTAAACCTTAGCCTACTCAGCCTCTCTCCAGTAACCCCAAAGGACTTTTGCAGGGCTCTCAATTTTTGCATACCACAATTTGAAAAACAGTTTCCCACTAGACTATCATCCCATGGTCCTTTGTCCCAGCTTGCATACTTTACCCTCACCAACAGTGCCCATTTCTCTATAGTTTTCATTAACTGGCTGTTATCAAATGTTTCTGTTTTTGCCCACCTGATGCCTGTGAAATGTCTCTCACTTTAATTTGCATTTTCCTGATTAACAGTATCTAGTGTTTTCATATGTTTTTTGACCATTTTGTGAATTGCCTATTTTTTCCTTACTTTTAAATTGCGTTGTTTGATTTTTCTTACAAATCTATAGAAGTTCTTAATATACTCTGGACATTAATTCTGTGTTGGTTGTATACAACACAAATTTTTTTCCAGTATTTATCTTGCCTTTATATCTCCCACAACTTCGACAGTTCCACCAGAATTGCCTGCCAATCTAGATTCTCCTGGATTTTGCGTATAGCCAATCACAAACTGTTATACCTGATAATTTTGCATTCTGTTCCACTCCTTATACTTTCTGGGGTTTGTTTGTTTGTTTGTTTGTTTGTTAAGGTGGCTATGATCTCTGGAGCGATGTTAAATAGATATTGTGCTAGCAGAGGCTTAGCCATAGTTTTTGGTAGATACTTGTTATCAAATTAATGTTCTTGTTATCTAAGAATTTCTTTTATAATTTTGAATAGATGTTGAATTTTAGCAGCAAATGAATCATTCCCTCAAAATTTAAATAGTTTTGGTTTAATAGTTTTGGCTTTAAATAATTTTTTGGGTTTCTATATGTCTTGCTCATTCATAGCCTAGGTATACTCCTATTAAAAATAATACTATTGTGAATAGAAAAAAATGTAAATTTTGATGTTTTTAAATAAGAAACATAAAATTGCAATAGCTATTCAGATGTAAACAATTATAATTCAGAAAAAAACAACAGTTTATGGATATTGAACCTCCAGATATCAATAACAACCATATACAAAGCAAAAGGGAGAGATATATATGATAGTATGGCCATAAAACTTTCCCTAAACTAAGGTGGTCTGATAAGAATCAATTATTGGCCTTTAATAATTATTGTAATATTTTAATATTTTCAACTATTATCTGTAAATCTCATGTTTAAAATATGTAAGATAATTGGATCATAGAAAACTGAAATTTTTATTTTCCTTTTTCTAAAACAGAATACAATACTTTCTTTACATATATACTAAAGGCCCAGTGCATGAAATTCGTGCACTGATGGGGGGTCCCTCAGCCAGCCTGCGCCCTCTCTCAGTCTGGGACCCCTCGCTCCTTACCACCTACCTGCTCACTGCTCCTTAAAGCTCTGCTGACTGCTCCTTTGCGCTGCCGCAGCTGCACTCACCAACCATGAGCCCGGCTTCTGGCTGAGCAGCGCTCCCCCCTGTGGGGCACACTGACCACCAGCGGGCAGCTCCTGCATTAAGCATCTGCCCCCTGTGGTCAGTGCGCATCATAGCAACTAGGTCTGGTCACTCTGCTGTAACGGTCACTTAGGCTTTTATTTTATATACTAGAAGTCCGTTGCACAAAGATTCGTGCAATCGGCCTTTCTTCCCCTGGCTGCCGGCACCGGTTTTCCTCCAGCACCTGGGACCCAGGCCTTTAGTCCGGCCACAGCGGAGAAGCCAAGCCTCGAGGCTAGGCTTCTTGCCTCTGGCTGCAGCGAGGCTTTGAGGCTAGGATTTTCCGCTGTGGCCGCAGTGAGGCTTAACTTCTCTGCTGCGGTTGCAGGGGAGAAACCAAGCCTCTCCAGTCTTCACTCTTCACTCTGGCTGGAGCCTTCAGTCTTCCCTCCTCGCCTGCATATGCAAATTAACCACCATCTTTGTTGGGTTGATTTGCATAATCATCCTGATTGGCTGGTGGGCATAGTGGAGTGACACCAATTTGCATGTTTCACTTTTATTTTATATATATTACTTTCAGAGAGGAAGGGAGAGGGAGAGAAAAACATCAATGGTGAGAGAGAATCATTGATTGACTGCCTCCTGCATGCCCACTGCTGGGGATCGAGCCTGCAATCCAGGCATGTGCCCTTGACTGGAACTGAACCTGGGACCTTTCAGTTCACAGACTGACGCTCTATCCACTGAGCCAAACTGGCTAGGGCAAAAAGCAGAAATTTTTAAAATGAGAAGAAATAAGATCTTAAATAGTGAGGATATAGCTGCTGAACCAATGACATATATTTATAAGTAGGACTTTATAGGATTCATGATTATATAGGAATTTGATTAATTTTTTGCCACTAAAAAGTCCATCACTCCATCAACAAAAATATTTTAATCTGTAAAATACAGAAAGTTAAAACAATTTTAAAGCATGGAGGGGCAGGGATTCGCCCTAGACCTAAATGGAGTAAGAACAGTAAACTACGTAAAGGAAGGGAACTAGAAGTGGACATACACTTTCATGAAATTTGACTGGAAGAAAGAAACCTGTTTGTTGAAACAGTAAAACACAAGGTTAGATGAAAAAGATGTCTTAAAGATACAGCTTGAAAAAAAAAGTTTAGAATTATTTTCTATTATATTCCCCCAGTTTCTGACTCAAATAAATTAAAACCCTAATAAGGAAGAATTGAAAAATAGGAGTAGTCACAAAAGCCAGCTCAAAATTATTACTATAGTTTAAGATTGAGGTTCACCTAGGAATTTAGATTAATGCATAATAGTGTCAAAGATGAAAAGACAGGGAGAGAAGACAATCTGAAAAAAAGAATTTACAGCTTTTGTAATTTCCTGGCTTTAGGGTTTGAGAGAGATGGTCAAAGGTGAGTCCAAGAATACTTATGGTATTTTTTTCAATTTTTGATATATATTTTAGGAAAGTCATTCAGCATCTCTACTATCCATGTCTAGTGAGGAAGGAGAGAAAATAAGATGTGACATGCCCTGTGACTCTGCTCATTTATCAGGTTTGACTCACAGCCTTGCTTTTGTTTCTAAGTTAGTTACTGAAATGCTGTGAAAGTTCATCTAAAGGAATTATATATTTTAAGTCATACTATATTAGTCGTTAGTTCATGTCAAAATGAAAACAAGGAACTAGATAGAATTTAATGCACAGTTGCCTAAAATGACATAAATAATTAATGAAACAAATGCTTTTTTCATAAAAGCAAGAACATATTAGGTATTTTAATCAAGATTATAGCACTATTAATTTTTTAACTGTTCTTAAGGCCCTACACACCATCTTAATCGCAAACGAATGTACATAGAAGATATTAATCCTGTTGAAGTAGGATTGGAAGAAGAAGAGGAAGGGAGAGCAAACTTGCTTCCCCAAAAACTGTCTAAAATGGAAAATGCAGATCATCACAGTCACAAAAGTAGGTAGATCAAATGTGTTTGTCAAAATGCAGCTATTTGGGAAGGTAGTTTCTTAGATCTTGAGTGACTCCATATACAAAACAAATCTTTTGTAAAGACAACTTTGGTCAAATCCAAGAAGGGTCATGTTTTGTCACAAGTGTACTGATGTGAATAATGCAGTAAGAGTCTTTTTTACTCATAAATATCCTTCATCTTTCTACTACTGATTACCTCATACAAATTGTACTAGCGTGTGAACTTACTGAGAAATTAGTGTGTTACTAAATACTGGGAAGTATGGAAGTAGCTAAAACCATTAAAAATAATCTAAAATGTTCCATTTTAATGTTACCATTCCTGCTTTAAATACCCATGCCAAAAGTTTTTTTATAAATCAACTTTTTAAATTAAAAATATGTCTGTCTTTTTTTACACATAGAACCTGAAAATAAGATTTTGTTCTCAGCTTATGACAAGTAAGGCTAAATTCGTAAAGTGTATTTTAACTTTGGTTTCTTGCCTTCATTTTTTAGTGTCTGAAAGTACATGTCCATTATCAGCAAATGACTCTTCTATTCCTGTGAAGAACTGGGGAACTGAAATTTCAGATGTAGACATGATGTGTGAGCAGTTCAATACAGAATTTAAGAAGAAATATAATGTGAGTTATTTAAATTATACCCAGTAACATTATAATTATACCCAGTAACCCTACTTTCTTCTAAACCAGTGGTTCTGAACCTGTGGGTCGTGACCCCTTTGGGGGTCGAACAACCCTTTCATAGGGGTCGCCTAGACCATCGGAAAACACATATATAATTACATATTGTTTTTGTGATTAATCACTATGCTTTAATTATGTTCAATTTGTAACAATGAAAATACATCCTGCATATCAGATATTTACATTACGATTCATAACAGTAGCAAAATTACAGTTGTGAAGTAGCAATGAAAATAATTTTATGGTTGGGGGTCACCACAACATGAGGAACTGTATTAAAGGGTCATGGCATTAGGAAGGTTGAGAACCACTGTTCTAGACTATCCACTTGTTTGATCTTTTGGCAACAAAACACCCATTTGTGAATTCAACTTTCCTCATGCACTGGTGAAAAATTGGAATGCTTCCTGGGTGAAAACCTTTTATCTCATGAGTGTATTTCTCTTCTAAAAGCCATGCATTATCCCTATTGGTTTTTTTTTTCCTACAGGTTCTTTCTCTTTATTCTATTTTTCTTTTTAACTAGTAGCCCAGTGCACGAAATTCGTGCACATTAAAAGGGAATTAATTGCCCTAACCGGTTTGGCTCAGTGGATAGAGCATTGGCATGCGGACTCAAGGGTCCCAGGTTCAATTCTGGCCAAGTGCATGTACCTTGGTTGTGGGCACATCCCCAGT